AGAATAATGTGCCCTAGGCTAGGCTTCGATCCATGACACATTTCAAATGGGGTGCTTTCAATGGTGGTCTGTTCTGTAGGTATGTTGCAGTCATGACTGCTTCTCCCCAGTACTTCTTAGGTAGGTTGGCAATTTCTGTAAGAGTGCAATTTTTTCATTCTGCTACACCATTTTGTTCAGGAGTGTATGGTGTGATGGTCTGGTGTACTATACCGTTTCTTCAGATACAATTCCACTTCCTTACTGATGTATTTCCCTCCGTTGGTGCGTATAATTCCTGGTTTCCGTTGGAATTTGTTGCTGGACATGGCTACAAACTCTTTACGTTTTTCAGATGTTTCATTCTTGTGCTTCATCAGATAAGTTGTTGTGTACCTAGAATAATCATCAATGAAAGTCAAAAGATATCTGTTACCGCTTGATGTGGGAGTCTTCATTGGTCCGCACACATCACCGTGTATGAGCTTCATGGGGTGGGTGGTCTTTCTTCGGCTGGCTTGTGGAAGTGGGGTACGTGTGGCCTTTGCTTCCATACAGCATTTGCATGTCCTGAGCATTTGCCAGGGCAGTACGGTTATATCTTTTGATAAGCCTCTCTTTATAATATCCTTTATTGCTTCTGGGTTTCGGTGCCCTAGTCGTTTGTGCCATAGATGGATACATTTGTTGTGTGGATTATGAGTGGTTGTCTTCACTGTAGATGGAGCTGTTGCACTACAGCTCAAAAGACATAACAGTATACCAGCACATTAGAATATCAGTAATATAATCAGTACATATCAGCATATGCTGCTGTATTTCCAACACCTCACACACTTGATGTTGACATGTCAACCCTTTGAATTAAGTCATTCACTTGATGTTCACATCGGCTAGCGCATGTGCAGCCCCGAAATTTCTGCGGAGTGCCGCCATGTTGGCTGCGATGTCTGCGGAGTGCCGCCATGTTGGCTGCAAGGTATGATTAAAGGAGAACTATACTGAGTATACTGAGACGCCGCAGCCGGAGCAGATCCCGACATCGATGTCGAGATCCGCCCAGCTGCGTGAGTGACAGCTGTACCCGCCCCCTCCCCGTCCGTTCTGGCGGATCGGAGCGGGGAATCCATCCCCTCCCCTGTCACGGCAGAGAGCCGTGACGGGATTGAGAAGTGAGCGAACACCGGCATGTGTTCGCTCACCTCCCGATCTACTGAGCCGACCTGTGACAGTCTCATTGTCACAGGTCGGCTAGAACTATGAGGTGAGTGAAAAGCACTCACCTCATAGTTCTCCTTTAAGGACTATTTGGTAGAATTTGTTCAGAATAATGGCATAATAAATGATAACCAACATGGGTTCAGGAAAGACCGTTCCTGCCAAACTAACTTGCTAACTTTTTACGAAGGGGTAAGTAGAGATCTGGATGGAGGGAGGCCGGTAGATGTGGTATATCTGGATTTCTCAAAGGCTTTTGATACGGTACCACATAAGCGCTTACTACACAAGCTGAGAGCTATGGGCACAGATGGAATGGTGTGTACATGGATAGAGAACTGGCTACAGGAACGGGTCCAGAGACTATCGGTTAATGGCATCTTTTCAGACTGGGCTAGTGTCATGAATGGTGTGCCTCAGGGTTCTGTGCTGGGACCCATGCTGTTTACCCTGAGGTGTTTACCTCACCCTGTTTATTAACGACATCGGGGAAGGTGTGAATAGCAATGTTTGCTGATGATACCAAAATTGGGAGGGTAATAGAAACGGACCTAGACAGTATAACATTACAGGCAGGGCCGGCTTTAGGCGCCCTGTGCGAGAAAGCTTTACAGCGCCCCTCAGTGACCACACCCTTTAGTGGCCACACCCCAAGTAACCACACCCATTTATCACCCATATTTTTGGTAAAATATAATAGTCGGGGTCACGTCGGGTAAATAGACACCAAACATGTCATGCTTTAAAATTGCACGCACCTGCAAAATCGCAAAAAATGACCATGCCCAAAATTGACCATAGGTGACGCTTTAAAAGCTTTTACCGCTCATCAGTTTAGTGTTATCAGTGATTGATAGCCCTACAATTATTGCTCTCATTCCGACGTTCGTGGCGATATGTAACATGTGCGGCGTAATGGGCGAAATCGTCGTTTTCACACGTATGTGCACCCGACGCCTGTTTGCATGCGTGTATGTATGGGGGGGGACTTTAAAAATTGTTTTAATTCTTTTTTATTTTTAACTTTACATTTTTTGGGGGGAAACTTTATTGCTATCACATAGGGGGGGTTAGAAAACCCCCTTATGTGATAGCAAAATATGTGACAGGTCCTCTTTATGGAGACATCAGGGGTCTCCAAGACCCCTAATGTCACCTAGGACCCCCCTGAAGAAGCTGATGAAGCA